TGACCCCTTAGTGGGGCTACTCAAGCCTGGGATGCCTTACCTTCCTGCATCAAGTGGCCATTGATCTATAGACTAACAGCACCTCCAGCATGTGCACTGAGCCAATGTGCCACAGTCCCCTTGCTTTCGACAAAGCAGACAGTATGAGTCAGGGTCAGCCTCTCTGCTGGCTTATTAGAATGCATATACAGTCTCTGGCTGTTTATGACATCAGGTCTCCACTGGGCCTCCCTGAGGGTAGAAACTACATATCCTTTCCTGTGTCTTCCTGCCAAAGCATACCTGGGCTTCTGTGGGCATCTTACCGGACAGTGCTGGATTTCTTGGCTTGACTCTAACACTGTCTGGTAACGATGTTCAAAGGTGACCCACCATTCGCCGATACACACTTGTCCTAGCTCCTGGACCCCAGGTAGGCCAAGGCTGTGGATGTGCTGGGCTTGCAGAGGGCCTGTCTCAGCTCTACAGCTCAGCAGTCAGTGGGGGCTAGACTTTATCTGAGGTGGGAAACCTTGTCTATTCATGCTGGAACAAGAATGGTTTCACCATGCCAGGGGTACTGGGGTTGAGGCAGCTTGTCACTCATTCCCAGAGCAGCAATGCCCACCTTTGCCAACTCCCCTGTTGGCTAGATTTGGGGGTTCACTGATTCCTAGAGAGACTGTGAGGGTTAGTGAAGATGCTGGGTTAGGTAAGGAGACATGGTAGATAGCACTGTTAGCATAAGGACTATTATTATCAGTGCCTATGAGACCAATGGGCAAGGGTGGGTTCAGGGACCTGAGCATGGTATACAGAATCATGATGTCATCTGCTGTTTTCTAATTAAGGACAAAGAATCTCCCTTCCCAATCGTACAGAATAGGAACTTTGCTCCAAACCAGAATCTAAGATTACTTCTTATCTTCCTTTACTTGAAGCCAGAGTACAGGGCCAGGGAGCCCCACCCAGCATCAGCCTAGATGGCTCTTCCTGGGGAAGGAGTCTGTTCCTGTCTTTAATGTTACTCATTAAGCTGACAGCCATTCAGAAAACCAAGACTTCCACACTAGAGGAACAGGCAACTGAGCTGGGGCCTAGTAAGAAAGTCCTTAGAGTAGCCCCAGGTCCTAGAATGGCGAACCCCAAGAATGGCCCTTAGACCAGAGCAGGCAGGAATCCAACCCCTGCCTTCCCTCCACAGGTATCAAATCAGGATTAACTGCCCAGATGGGGAGACCCTTGTACAATGCATTGCCTGCTGATGGATGTCTTACCAGACATGGTTAGATCTCGATGCATCTGTCTAATACTGTCTGGTAATGCCGTCCATCCACGGCCTTATCACCGCTGGAGACAACATCCTCACCACCTCATGGACACTGGGTAGAGACAAGGCCTTCTAGGGCAGAGGCCATCAAGCCCTCTATCCAAACAAATCACAGTTTAAATCTACAGGGAGTTAGTGTTAACTTTCTGTTAGAGCCACAGCAGATAGAGGTCTCTGTATCTGTCCTTTTTAGGAATAGTCAGTGGAGCTGTTGCAGTGCTATTGCCCCCCCCCCATAGCCCACTGGACTCTACACAGAGGGACCTCAAGCTGTAGACAGCTGTCACCTGAAGATTCTGTAGCTCCTGTGCTATCAACATTGGTATGGGACAAGAGGCGATCTAAAACCTTGGTCCTTAGTCTCCTCCCCAAAATTCTCAGGTCATGGGCCGAAAGAGAATAAAAACAGATCTAACCACTGTGCCCAAACCCAGAGTGAAAAACAGGTATATGGGTTTCAGGGACAGGGGTACTGCCAAGGTGCCAGACCAGGTGATAGTGACTAATACCCAGGAATATGTAGAAGGTTGCATAGCTTTGCATTGTCAGCCTGCTCATGAGCTCTTTCTAATGCATCCCACCTTTGGTTCTTAGGATCAGAGAGCCATCCTTCAATCTAACTCTGGATGCTGAATAGCCCAGTCTTAAAGACCTCCCACCCCCATGTCCCTGAGAATTTTCAAAAGGCTGTTTCTAAAACTGTCACTCTAGAATGATTCCCAACTCTTACATCATTTGCTGTATGAGGAGTATAAGTTTTGCTGTAATAAGAACTAGAAGTGAACCTCTTAGACCCCATAAGCTGTTTACTTCAGTACCTGGACTCCTGCAAACTTCATGTTGGTCAATACAGCCTAAGCCCAGGAGAGCCAAGTTCTACCTCACCCACTGCCCTCTGGAGGGAACCCAACATTCCCTGACAGGTTTCTTAGTCCTGATCAGGCCACTCCCTCCAAAGAACCATTATAAGGAGACTGGACTTCATCTCCCACAGAAACCTGCTGTGCCCCAAGTGAGTAACTGAACCTTACATTTGAAATTCTATCTATGTGACTGAGGGCTTTGTCTGCCCATTGTGCACTCTATAATAGGAGGTCTCCTTATTGTCATCTCTTCAAGCATTGTAAATAAAATGCAGACAAAAAAATCTCTGTAAGGCAATAAATTGTGTGATTTGTGAAATTGTACTTTGGTCACCTCATTTTAACCACACAAAACATTAACAAGCAGCTTTGCAAGGGATCAAGCTGAGAACACAGGGATTCCCATGATCTGTGCTCCCACCAGATAGAAGACCTATGGAAGAGAGACATGGGGCTCATTGTACCCAGCCAGTCACCACATAAACTGGCTCTGGTATGCAATATGTACTCTAGAACATACCAAGGACAAGTAATCCATGAAAATCGGGGCTCCAGTCTCAGCCAAGAGTCAGCATTGGAGTGAGAATTGGGTAGTTTGTGCAGGAACCAAGCCCAGGGTATTATGAATGTAAAAGCAGTCACCCCACTCCTGAGCAACATTCCCAGCTCCTGGAATATGAATTGGAAATGTCCTTCACACCCAGGATCAGAGACTGCTGGCTACTTATCCAGAGCCTCTCCAGGGTTAGGTGTACTACCTGTCCAGGCCTGGAGACTATAAGCTCAATACAGGGCTTAGTAGAAGTACTATGTGCCCCAGCCCACTGCAGTCTCATTGTACTGCTAGTCTAAAGCAGAGATGTCTCTTGAGCCAGCACTGGACTTACCACAAAGACCCCTACCCTCAGCACAGCATACGAAGGGCAGATCAATGTCGATAAGCAGTCTCACAAATAGAGAAGGACAGCCTATGCGGCATTCCTATCCCCACAGGACTCTGGGCATATCTGAGAGATGGTGCTCCTCAAGACATGCCAAGCACAAGCTCTCACACTGGCAGCTTAGACAAGGGAAGAGACCTCAAGGGAGGAGCCACATAAGTGACTGGGCATGCCTAGGCTCTAAGGGGATGCTAGAGCTCCTTAACATGGGCAGAACCACAAAAGAACCTAAGATGAGATTTAGAGGGTAGCTGAAGACAACAGTTGTTTCCCAGAATTTCCAAGATATGTCCCTAGAAAGGGAGTCCTCATGTATCCTCTTAGTTCACAGCCACATACCCTTATCTCTGCTTCCCGCTGAGGAGGTCATCAGTTATTGGGTTTGGAGTATACCTGGTTGATACAAGATGACTGCACCCAAGATTCTAACTCCGTCATATCTGTAGATCTCTATTTTTTTTTTTTGGTTGTTTTTTTTTTTGTTTTTCGAGACAGGGTTTCTCTGTATAGCCCTGACTGTCCTGGAACTCACTCTGTAGACCAGGCTGGCCTCGAACTCAGAAATCCACCTGCCTCTGCCTCCCAAGTGCTGGGATTAAAGGCGTGCGCCACCACTGCCCGGCTAGATCTCTATTTTTATATGTATATTTTTTTCTGTTTTTTTTTTTTCGAGACAGGGTTTCTCTGTGTAGTTCTGGCTGTCCTGGAACTCACTCTGTAGACCAGGCTGACCTCAAACTCAGAAATCCGTCAGCCTCTGCCTCCCAAGTGATCTCTATTTTTAAAAAGGCACAGTCATGGACTCCAGGACTCATGATATGGTCCTGAGTTTTGGAAGCACCATGTAGCCCTTATCAAGGTCTTGTGATCCTTACAAGGTTCTGAAAGATGACAAGGATATGAAGTTCATATGGCTGAAAACTTGGGGTCAGAAGCAGGAGTTACATCAGATCCCAAGGACCCCAGCAGAAAACTACAAATTGGCATCAAAGCCACTTTGAGCCATACTTGGTGTCAGATCCTAGATCTTTAGGTCTGGATAAAGGAGTCCCTGTGAATACTCAAAATCTTCATGGGAGGATGGAAGAAGTAAGGCTATGCCCCAGGTTCAGATAGGGAGTGTGTACAAGACCCTTACTCAGTCACAGCATCCTCCCAGACTCCTCAGATCAATTTGACCTATATTCTCCACCTCTTGCTTTGCCCAACTTCTGTAAGGCTGCCCCTCAGCTCACACAGTGGCACCTTTCACCATCCACCTAAAACTCTTGTTTACCTTTGGGCAGCTGCTGAATCATAGTTCCCCTAGTAATAGTTGCCTGGAGACAGTTGCCAGGTCACCACTGTTGTATCCCAGCAGAGGGTTCCTAAGACCTTGCAGAGCAGGTAAGAGAGACTAGCTGGTTACCAGCTGAGGGTCCTGACTAGGACTGAGACTGAGTCCTTGCCCTCCTGTGCCTCATTTTTGACCCTTTTTGGAGGTAGATAAACAGGAGAGGACTGGGCAGAGACTGGACAGCTTGGCTGAGCTCAGCCCTCTGCCAAGGCCACTCTCCAAACCCAAGTGTCTCAGCCAAGAAAGGAGTGTCTTATGGGGTGGGATTGTTCCATGTGGACAACTCAAGTTCTGGGGAGGGCTGGGATCCCTTAGAAGGAGCTCTTTGCCTAGAGCCATGTCTGTCTCCCCCCAGAACTGACCCCTCAGAAGGGCCACCTCCTGAGATCCACAGAGAACGCATCCCCAGACAGTGAGCGCAGCTTGGGAGGCACCAGCCCTTCAAAAAATGTCAGCACCTTCTCAGAGCTCTGTATTGCCAAACGTGTGTGTGTCTGGAGAAAACTTCAGCAGAACACTGACGTGGTCATTTTCTTGGCCATCTTCTTCAGGTTTAAACGCATCTGCTCATTGTACCGGGGTGTGATTTCCTGCCGGTCTTTTTATCTGACCAGGTAAAAATGTTTATTTTAAATTCATTATAAAGACTTCAGGCTTCTGTCTGGCTCCTCGCCTGGAGCTTTTCCTCAACTTTTTTGTAATATCATGACTCATAACCACACAATTTGCTTCAATATCAGACAACTTGCTTCCTGAAATAGTAACTGAAACTTTTACTGTAAAATTTGCTTTCTGGATTCTGGGTCTCATCCTCAGAGAGACCCTGAAATATGCTTCCTAGATAAGGGCAGCATCTGGTAGCTTCCAAGTGTAGATGCTGTGTTCCAGTCCTTACTCTCTTGGGTAGATATATCCCTACTCATTAAGTGTTCTATGAAGTTTTTGTTATTTTGTGTGTGGGGGGTTCTTTTTTTTTTTTTTAATTTTTTGAGGGAGGGCTTCATGTAGCTCAGGCTGGTTGCCAACTTAGTCAAAGATTACCTTGAATTTCTGATCCTCCTCAAGTATGGGGATTATAAGTATGCAATACCATTCCTGGTACAGGGAGTCAGATCTGGGGCTTTATATATGCTATGTAGCACTGTATCAACTGAAATACATCTTGAGCTCTTGCTATTTTTTTTTTTATTCATTAGGGTCTCTCTATGTAGCCTTGACTGGCTTCAGGCTTTTGGTAATCTCTTGTTTTCTGCCTCCCAAGTACTGGGATTACAGGCTTGTGTCACCACACCTAGCTTAGTTTTAGTAAATATATGTGACAAGGAATAATTCATAGCTGAATTCAATGTTAAAATAACAAGAATATGAAGCTAAGAAAGTGATTGCACAATCACACACCCACACCTACACTCCTGCCCAATTTAAAAGCTTCTATCTCAGCCTCCTCCTGGGAGCCTTTCTTTTCTCAGTGGAACGGGATCTCCAGGCACTCCTGTCCTCTACAGAGGTATGAGTTTCTTGTTCCCAGGATTTCTCTCCATCCTACAGAAATTTTGGGATTTTTTTTTCTTCTCCTGTTGATTCGGTGGGTGTAGAATTGCTAGACATACATAGTGCCTGAATGGCTTGACTCTCTCATGATTGCTGTATTTGGCCTTTCTTTGCTGTCAGTCTATCCATGGACCTGTCTTCCTTCTTAGATCTGACTTGCTCCTATCCAAAGGCCTCAGCTTGTCTTTCCTTCTCAGTGACAGGGTCTATGTGGCATCTCTTCACTCACCCCTACCAAACAAACTGTTTTTTCTTCCCTTGATGTGAGGCACAAACTTTTGTCTAGGAATTAATTTTAAGTGCCCTAAAATGTTCCAAAGATGGCAAATAGAGAAAAAGGATAATATCTGGGGCAGGATGCTAAGGGAAGAAGAGTTGATGGTAGCTATAGACAGGTTGTGTTAGTAGATCCTGGGCTGAGTACTTGAGTAGCCATAAATTGATAGGACCTTTGTTTGGGGCTTGGAGCCTCTTTGACCTTCAAGTCTGCAGATGTGCACCCTACCAGCAGCAAGACTGATGGGCAACCTCTTTGCAGCAGACACAGAGGCCACACTCGTCGAGGCCAGGACAGTCTTGGCCGAAGAAAACTCACTAGGCAGAGACGGGATGCAAAGATGGCCTTACACCCACAGGCCGGAAGGCCTCATGGCCATCACAGAGATGGAAGTGAGGCACAAGCTGAAGCTAAAGCCCAGGATATGGGGAGGCTTCCTTCCCCAAGCAGGGTGGGTGCAGCTGTCTGTCCCATCCAAGGGCTGGGACATCCGGCTGCTCGAAGACCCAGAAGGGGTGTAGGGACTACATCTGCCTCAAGGGTTCCTCGCCCTGGTGCCCTTATGCCTGCAACACGCAACCGTCCAAGATTCATCCACTGCCGGGGTCAGCCCCCTCGGACCCATGTCAGCTCCAAGAGACCCAAACGGTCCAGGATCCATCAATGCCACACTAAGGTGCCAGGTGAATGCAGAGGGGCCGTGGGACTGTTACACATTCCCTCAAGTCAGGGCCTCCAGGGACAGCATCTCAGTGGGAAGAGATTAGGCTCACACTAGATCATGCCATCCATCCATCCATCCAAGCAGGCCCTGAGAGAAGCTAACAAGGGTCCACATACTAGGGACACCATGTTCAAGAACCTGTAAGCTTTACCTGTCCGTGCCATCACAGTGGGCATTTACTACCCCAATCCCATTTAGTGCAGTTTCTCATCTCTGCTGGTTGACCATAGACTCTTGAGTCACCCATGATGTCATCATAGACATTGTGACTCCTACTCTCTGGAGACATCCCCACATCATGTTTGTATGGGCTCCTGTCTCACACTCTAGCCCACTCCCTGCATGGAGCCTTTCCTACTGGTAAGGAGGGTGGAGGTGGGGCCACCCTCTTCCCTCCCAATGTAGTCTCCACACTACGTGGACTCTGCCTGATTTAAGGCTGGTAATGTCTCCTTTCTCGGGTGTAATGACCCTCAGGCCTCCTGGTCAGGTCTGTGTTGAGCTGAAGAAAGGTCCAGAGGGGCTGGGTTAGTTCCCAGCAGTTGCTGGCATTGGCTGGGCTCAGGCAGATTGAATGGGTACCTGCCAGTTCCCCACCTGACACCACTGATCTCCAGGCTGGACCCATGAGAAACGGATGGGGAGCAGTGTCGAGGAAGGGCTCCGGCCTGAGCTAAGTCAGCTGGACCAAGATGCAGGTGGGGCTTCTGGCAGCTGGGAGAGGCAGGAAAACCCCTACTGAGCTAGAAACCAGGGGCCTCTGATCACTCACCTACCCACAGACGACCTGGAGGAAGAAGAAGCTGCCAGACTCCCAGTGACCTCCCCAGACGGGCTCCTGATGGAAGGAGATAAGCAGCCCATTCCTAGTCAGGGCCCTTTCTTCTACATCGGAGGCACCAATGGAGCATCAATGTGAGTGGATTTTGAGCAGCCTGGTCTGTATTCTCACCCCTGTCTTGGATCTGGCCCAAGATGTTGCTATAGGCAGCCATTCCTGCCATGCTTCTTCAGGGAACCCTAAGTGCCCCCAGTTACTGCTGCCTTATACCCTATAGAATCAGCAACTACTGTGAGAGCAAGGGCTGGCAACGCACTCAGGACAGCCACTGTGAAGACTACAAGCTAAAGTGGTGTGAGATCAAGTGCAGGGACAACTACTGCAGCTTCCGGGAAGGTAGGCGACATCACTGAGGAGAGGGGATGTGGCACAGCCTTAAGGTGCCATGCACATATCCCTTTTTGTCTCACCAGGCCAGCAGTTGCTGTTCCAGCTCCCCAACAACAAACTGCTTACCACCAAGATCGGGTTGCTCAGTGCTCTTCGGGAGCATGCACGCACTTTGAGCAAAGCCAGACTGCTGCCCAGTACCCAAGCCAAGTGAGCCCACTCTGCCAGACCCAGAAGCACACCCACTTCTACCTCCATCTGTCCCTTAGGGCCATTCCCCCCCATAAACTCCCCACTCCCTCTGCAGCTCCTCAGCATTCACTATCCTACCCAAGATGTGGGTCAATTATTAGTCCTAAGCACTCTCTTCACACGGTCCACTTCTCTCCCCATTGATCTTCCAATCTGCCTCTACTTTAGTGTGTGCCCATCATTCCCTACACAGATATCTATACTCTATGCCCACAATAGCCACCCATGAATATCTTCCAGTAGTCATTTCCCCTGGAGTCATGCCCCAAGAGTCATCCATTGCTCCCCCCCACTCCCGCCAACTTGGCCATCATTTTGTTCTTTCTTATTCATCCAGTTTCCTTCATCATTTATCCAAGCTGACCCACTCGCTGGTTCACTGATTACTTGTTCAGATCTATCTATTCATCCAACCAAATGCTTACCATCTGCCCCTTGAGGTAGCTTTTAGATCATGGACACCCATAACACCATCTTGACATCTGTGTGTCCAGCTGTCCTCTTTCTACTAACTTGTATCAGCAACTCAGAGCCATGTTTCTAAGGCATCCACCTGCCCACCTACCTCTATGCCTATCTGTACTTTCATTCTGCACCTCCAAACGTGCTGGAGATAGGTACTCAGACCAGGATTTATGTCCCTTTGGGATGCAGATTTGAAAAGATGCCTTGGCCCACAGAAGTAGACAGCTGGGAGGCACTGTCTTGGCACTGGAAACCAACTGACATGGAAGGGGACAATTGGGAGAGAGAAAGCAGAGAGATGGGACAGAGGAACCACAGTGGGTTTGGTAGCCAGAAGGCTGGCTGCTACAGAGAGGCTGAAAGTATGAGACACATATAAAAATGTTCTGCAAGGGTATAGTCTGAGCAAAGGCTTAACAAAGGAAATAGCTGAGAAGGCTGGAGGATACAACAGTAAACACCCCCTCCAGCTAGCCTACAGGTCAAACTACCAGATCACTGGCCATGTCTGAGACAGAGGACAGCCCTCTTCATGTTTTTACTTCCTTGCTCTCCCAAGGGTCCTGAAAATGGAAGAGTTTTTTCCAGAGACCTATCGGCTGGACATCAGGGATGAGAGGCAGGCTTTCTTCACTCTATTTGATGGTGAGAGGCCCCTGTGTAGCGTCAGGCACACTAGAAGGGCAGACAAGATTAGGTCTGGACTCTAGCAGGGTGGGGCAGGGCCAGACCTGGGAAAAGTAGAATAGTTCTTGAAAGTGAAGCCAGGGCTTGGGATCCTAGTGGTTTCTGATGTTAAGGAGTGGGAGAAAAATGGTTGTGGCCTTAGTTAGAAGTAGGAGTGTGGCAGGGTCAGGGCCATAGAAGGATCTTGGGTATGATCAAGGTGAGACAAAATAGTCCTCTGACCTGGGTAATCAGGGTAATCAGACATCGAAATCAGGGTAGGATCCAGTTTGGCTGCTTGGTGTGGTCTGGGCTGAGCAGAAAAGATAAGGAAAGGGAAGGTCAAGGCTAGGGCAGGGTAAGGGATGGGAGGGGCAAGGAGTACTCGGGGCCACAGCTCAGGGGTTACTCCCTGCAGAAACCCAGATGTGGATCTGCAAGCCTACGGCCTCCAACCAGGGAAAGGGCATCTTTCTGATCAGGAGCCAGGAGGAGGCTGCTGCCCTGCAGGCCAAGACCCAGAGCATTGAGGACGACCCCATCTACCGCAAGATGCCCTTCCGTGCACCTCAGGCGAGAGTGGTGCAGAGGTGTGGGAATGGATGCCAGGAAGGGCTTGAGTCTCAGGCGGGGATAACCCAGATTGGCTGTTGCTTGTGGATGTTGGTGATAGTCATCAGAAGTGCTGCCGAGCAGCCCTTGACCACAGCAGGCTACAGCACTTCCAACACCCAACCAACCTGCCCCAAGCAGCCCACATCTAGACCCATAATCTGTGTGGGGGTGGGGAGGTATTCACTTTTAGCTGGGGTAGCAGGGAAGTCTGCCCCTAAACACAGGCTCCTCCAAGGAGGGGAAGCCAAGGATGGTTTGGTCCCTTTGTCCTCTGCCCTGCAGCTGTCTTTCCTATTCTTCAGCCCAGCCAGCCAGCTACAGCCCATTTGCAACACAGAGCTGACCAATGACTCATCTGCCTACAGTGGGGTCCAGTCCCTCAGTTTCACATGAGACTAGGAGGGAAAACTCAGCTCATACTTAGAAAAGTCCCAATAGAGCCTTATCCTCTACCAATATGGACCCTTTCTCTGGCCACAGCTGCCATTGGCTACACCTTTCCCCTTCCATAGGACCCTTCCAAGAATGCTCTCCCTACCTTCAGTCTTGAAGATGTGAAATTTCTTATGTGGGATGCCCTATCCCATCACCAAAGCCATTCACCATTCACAGGTCCAATGTCAGTCTTCCTCTTCCAGACAGCCCTCCCTACCACAGGGGCCCAATCTGTTCCCAAAAGCTTCCTAGTAAGAGCTGCACCAGACACTTTCAGTGGGTAAAGAGTTGGTTATGATGCCTGCTTCCTAATTCCTTTAAACAGCTCAAAGTCCCTCTAACCATGTTCAGCCAATGGTCATACCTGGGACAGGTGGGAGGCAATGAGGAAATGGTCCTTGTGGGGATGACAAATCCAGGCCAACTGGCCAAAAAACTCAGCCCCAGGTGCCCCTGTGGTACCCTCTAGATATGTCCAGAACCCGCTGCTGCTAGACGGGAAGAAGTTTGATGTGCGCTCCTACATGCTCATTGCCTGTGCCATGCCCTACATGGTCTTTTTTGGCCATGGCTATGCCCGCCTCACCCTCAGCCTGTATAACCCTCATTCCAGTGACCTCAGCGGTCATTTGACCAATCAGGTAAGAACCCCTTATAGGAGAAGTCCTTTTACTATAGGTGTGGATGACCTCAGAGAAAGATTCTCATTGTTTGGGAACACAGAGCAAGAATCTAGTTATAGACTGCCTGCCTAGGCATGGAAGTAGCCTAGCAGCTACTTCCTTTGCCCCAATAGATAGTCAGGTGTCTTAAGTTCCTTAGAACCTAAATCCTTGAGTCAGCTGCCATTAATGTGCTGGTCAAAGGCCTAATTAATGGGAGGGTCTGAAACAAAGATGTCTTGTTTGTGGTATGTGGGGATTTGCTGACTGGGAAGTTTCAAGGCATAAAAGTGTATGCACAAGGGTCTCATGGCAGTTCTCATGGGAGATGGGAATGGAGCTCTGGTGAGGTTAGGGTAAGGCCTTCATAGAGGGATACCTACCTAGGGTGACCCCTAGACTCTGCTTGTGCTGTAGTTCATGCAGAAGAAGAGTCCCCTGTACATGCTGCTGAAAGAGAGCACTGTGTGGAGCATGGAGCATCTCAACCGATACATCAATGACAAATTTAGGAAGACCAAGGGCCTCCCCAGAGATTGGGTCTTCACCACTTTCACGGTCAGTCTAGCTTTGTGTCATGTTTTGTGTGCATACTGCCTATGGGTTGGGCTAGGCACATGGCTTTTTATGAGTCACTGAAGCATGTGTAGTTGTACTGAAGCCACGCCTAATTTTTCCAGCTATAATTTTCTATATCAAGTTGAAGGGGCAAAAGTAGATATCCTTGCATTTCTTCTGATGTGAGGGGAAGGCTCACAGATTCCCTTCTCTCCCTAGTTTGCTAAGCATTTTAAAGGGTAGGATGCTGGGTAATGTAAAATGTTGTTTGTATACTGATTAAGATGATTGTGCTATTTTTCCTTCATTCTATTCATGTGAATTGCATTGATTAGTTTTCACTATTCTCACATTTTTGAGATAAATTCCAGGTGGTAGTGGTATATGATAATTCAACTGTACTTCTAGGTTTGATTTTATTGTATTTAAGTATTTTTGTGTTGACGCACATAAGTAATCCTGACCTACGGCTTTCTTTAGTATTTTACCTGATTTTGATATAAAAATCTATCATATCCCATTGAATATAAAATATCTGAAATAATCAACTTATTCTGTCTCACAGTCTTAGAGGTTTGGAGTCTGAGCAAGGTCTACCACCTTATCTCACTCCTGTGATAATCTGCCCTGCTCACATTTGAGAGACTGTAGAAACTATAAAACAAAAATCTTTCCTCCTTGAGCAATTCTCTCAGATATGTGTTATAGTGAGAAAAACAAAAACAATGATTGGCACACTCAGGAAGCAGCCTGGACTTCCCTTTGTGGGAGGGTTTGTCACTGTGCCTACCACCACCCTCAAGCTCATTTGATTGCTGTCTACTAAGATTTTCTATCCTTGTTGGGTTTTAGATTTTTCTATTTACTTTGTTAGCTTTTCCTAGGAATTTTTCCAGTTCTCCTTAGTTATATAATGTGTTTGGTCTGCCTACACTTACAGTATTTCCTTAAATTCATTTTACTATGATGGGGATGCTGGTGCACACCTTTAATACCAACATTTGTGAGGCAGAGGCCAGCAGATCTCAGAATCTGAAGCCAGTCTTGTCTATATAGTTCCAAACCAATAATAGTTACATGATGAGATCTACCAAGGAAGGGGTGAGGGGGAGGAGAGGAAAGAGAAGAAAAAGAGGAAGAGTTAGAAAAAGAAGAGGAGGAAGAAGAAGAAGGGAGGGGAGGAGGGAGGAGGAGGAGGTTGAGAAAGAGAAAGCCAGGAGGCAGGTAGGGTAACAAAGCCTGTAATCTTACCATTTGTGAGGTAGAGACAGGAGTATCAGTAACTCAAGGTCATCATCTACACAGAGAATTCAAAGATATTCTGGTTTATATGAGATTCTAGCTCAAACAAAAAAAAATGCTGAGGGCTAGGGTTATGCTCAGCAGTAGAACATTTGCCTATAATGCACAAGAGCCTTGGGTGCCAACTGACTACACAAAAACAAATTAATGAAAACTTTTAATCCTAATATGTGCTGTATCTTAAAAATGTTCTCGTGACGCTGAGGAGACAGCTCTGTAGTTAAGGGCATTTTCTCTGTTTGCAAGCATGAGTTTAAATATCCAACATCCATATAAAAAGCCAGATGTAGCTGCACTTGTCTGTAACCCCAGCACTGAAGAATGGTGACAGGTAGACTCTAAGACCTTGCAGTCTAGCCAGCCTAGATTATAAAATGAAAGAGATGATTATATTATGAAAGAGAGATTATAGTTCACTGAGAAACTGTCTGGAGGCAAAAAGACAGAGTGATAAGACACACTAGATCCTGCTGTGCTCTCTGGAGGAATATGCACAAGTGTGCACTTCTGCATACACACATGCATATACCACACATACTGCACACACACACCACACTATACAGGCAGGCACACATGCACACACACCTTCTTATGCATTGGAAAAGATCATATAACCCACTGTTCAATACAAGGTCCATAAAAATCTGTGGAGTCTAGTTGTTTTGTTTTGTTTTAAGAGAAAGTGGATATGTATAGATCAGAGAACAACTTCATAGAGTTTTAATTTACTCAAGTGTTGTTTTGACCTCATTCTAACCATGGCGTATGCATGCCTACATTCACATCCATTGTATAAGCACATATAATAATATTTAAAATAAGGGTTGGTAAGGTAACTAAAGTAGTAAGGCTGCTTGATATCAAGCCTAACAACCTAAGTTTCATTCCTGGACCTATATGGTAGAAGGAGAGTTCTAAAAGTTGCCCTTTGACCTCTACATGTGTGCTGTGACCCTCCATGCCTCCTCCAAAAAGATGTAAAAAAATGTATTTAACATTGAGTAAGGTGGCATATGTTTTTATTCCTAGCACTCAGGAAGCAGAGGCAGGCAGATGTCTTATGAGTTTGAGGCCAGCCTGGTCTACATAGCAAGTTCCAGGCTAGTCAAGGCTATTAGAGTCTTAAGACACCATAAGGCTTTTGTGGCAAGTGTCTTTACCTACTAAGTCATCTTGTTAGTCCCCTTTAAATAAATTCTCTCTCTCTCTCTCTCTCTCTCTCTCTCTCTCTCTCTCTCTCTCTCTCTCTCTCTCTGTGTGTGTGTGTGTGTGTGTGTGCATGGGGGGGGAGAGATTGTAGCTAGGAAGCTTATGTCACAGTGAACATGTGGAGATCAGAGGACAACTTCACAGTCAGTTCTGTTATTGTACCTTAATATGGGTTCTAGGATCAAAGTCAGGTCACCAGGCTTGCACAACAAGCATCTTTATTCACTTAGCCATTTTTATCAGCCCTGTTCAATTTGTGTGTGTGTGTGCATGTGTGTGTGTGTGTGTGTGTACGTGCGCTTGCTTTGGTCAAGTCTTCTGTTTACTCTTTAATCATCTATGTATATAGTCCATTTGTATTTTTTGCTGTTGTTTTTTTTTTGAGAAAGAGTTTCTCTGTGTAGCTGTGTAGCCCTGGCTGTCCTGAAACTCACTCTGTAGGTCAGGCTGGCCTTGAACTCACAGAGACCCACCTGCGTCTGTCTCCTGAGTGCTTAGATTAAAGGCATGTTCCACCCTCTGGGACAGCTCATATGCTGTCTTATATTTAACTATATAATCACCTTTACTAGAGTTCTTTATTTTATTTCTTTATATAAGTTCAAGTTACTGATGGAGGAGCTTAGGGTAGGCATATCTTTGTTTTTCCTTATGTGGAAATGTCTCTTTGTTTTTTTGAGACTCTGTCTCACCATGTAGACCAGGTTGGTTTTGAATTCATAAAGATCTGCCTGCCTCTCTGCCTTTCCAGTTCTGAAATTAAAGGTATGTGCCACCACACCTGTCCATATGTGGAAATGTTTTTTTTTTGTTTTTTGTTTTTTTGGTTTTTCGAGACAGGGTTTCTCTGTGTAAACCTGGCTGTCCTGGAACTCACTCTGTAGACCAGGCTGGCCTCGAACTCAGAAATTCGCCTGTCTCTGCCTCCCAAGTGCTGGGATTAAAGGCGTGCGCCACCACCGCCCGGCTGTGGAAATGTTTTAATTTTTCCCCATTGTTAGAAAATATTTTCAATTTTTATGTGTTTGAGTGCCTGCATAAACACACACACACATGCATATATATATATATGCATGTACCATATATGTGCTTGGTACTCACAGAAACCAGAAGAAGGCTTTGGATCCCTTGGAACTGGAGTTATAAGAGGTTGTAAGCTGTCTGATGTGGACACTGGAAACTTAGTTGCTGTCCTTTGCAAGAACAGCAAGTGCTCTAAACATTTGAGCCCTTCCTCTAGCTCCTAACTTCTCCATTCTTGATTTGCTGGGCAGAAAGATATTCTCTCTCTTTCTCTCTCTCTCTCTCTCTCTCTCTCTCTCTCTCTCTCTCTCTCTCTGTGTGTGTGTGTGTGTGTGTGTGTGTGTGTGTGTGTGTGTGTGCATGAACATGTGTGTGTGTTCTGTGTGCTGTGTTTCTATGTGGTATA